TGAATTGTGATATAATAATAATGATAGAAAAATAAATGTCGCCATATATAAATATAGTATATATTATAATGCATATTTATATATATATTATAATATATATATATGAATTTATATAAAATAAAAAATTATATATTTAATTCTTTTATATATATTTTTGGTAATTCATAAAACTCTTGCATAATAAATGAAACGACTAAACATGTTATATAATTAAAATTTATGTATATTTCATATATATTATATATAAATATATTATTATTATATATATATATTTATACCGCTATAATATATATATATATATAAGTAAAAATATATAATGTTATATATATATGAATATCTATTATCTTTCTAAATGTAACATTATATATAATAATATATATATATATATTTGTATATATATATATATATATATATATATATATATATATATAAAAATATATATATATATAATATTTATATATAAATATATATATATATATATATAAATCCTATATTTTAATTTCAATCATACATTTCTAAATTAATTTATTGAGTGGGTTTAACTGCAAAATTGTCCATTTTTCTTTAACAAACTAATTTTCTCCTATAAATTTTTTTTTTTTGAATGATTAAATATATGAACTATTGGAATTCTCCGAAAATAAATCTGTTTCTTCTCTTCTTTTTTTCAATAAGATATATTTATCTATAAAATTTTTTGACCACTTTTATGTTGTGACATTCTGATTAATTTTTTTTCTATTGTTCAATCCTTTACAAATAATCACCATTATATCTTAAAAATTTTTTCTTGAATGGATTTCAAGATGAAAAACAGAGTATTTTATTTTCCGTAATCATTACTGAATTTGAATTATTTTTATTCTAACCATTGCTATTTGGTAAATACATAATGTTAGTATATAAACTATTTTAACATGTTCTTCTATCTTTAAAATACTCAAACGAAAAATTTTGTCAAGAAATTAAACGTTATAATCTGATTTTAAACTTTATAAAAATCAATTTTGTGTTTTTTTAATTATTAAACATTTTGTGAGATTTCAATTATCCCATGCTGTTTTCATTTTAAAGATTTATATATATATATAATATATATATATATATATATATATATATATATATATATATATATATATATATATATTTGGAATAAAATATTATATTATTTTTTTTAATAGTACGATAATATTTTACATAGCAGTAACGTAATAAGCAATTTTGTATCGAGGTATGTAAATATTAATTTTGTTAATTTTATCTATTTTTTGAAAAGTTCCTTTATGATTAATAATGCAATATTTAACATCCAGTACTGTGAGAAAGTCTGTTATCACTAATGCCTTTTTCCTTGGTCCTAACTCTTTCCTGCTTTATATTAACTATCAGCCTAAACGCATTCTCAGATCCTCGTTACATATACATGTAGACCAAAAAATGAACATTCAAAACTATGGTAGCTTATATAATCTCTGAGCTTGTTCGCAAGGCTAATGGGAGAGGAATATTTTCCAATCACTAATAATACCATATTTTTTTCTAGTCATAACGATTGGTTATATTCTCCGTGAGGCATCTTGCTTGTAATGTCTGTCAAAACACAGTCTCAGTCCAGCTTTGGATTGGAAGTCATAGGTACAATACGTCGATAAGGGTGCTGAGAAACTGAGCCAGTTCTATGCAGCGCTTCAGAAAGTATCTGACACCTCCTGGCATGCTCTATCATTATAAGAGTCAGATTAGACCAGCAAATGATCCTCACTTACCTGCCTTTCAAAAGTGATGTACGCGGCCGTGTGGATGGTGAATCGATCTTTTCCTGTAACCTTTTTTTCCCATCTCGTTAGTTTTATGACAGATGTTCAAACGAACTACATTCCTTGTTTCCACGATTGCAGACCCGTTATGCCACGTGCACAGGCTCGAACTATCCTCGTTCCCTTTGCATTTCATTGGTAAGGAAGAAATTCCATTCAGGCAATCAAATTTAAAGAAATGTTACTTTGGGTCTCTGAAACCGAATGGGATGTCTCAACGATCATTATAGAATTAAATTCTTCGTCCGCTGTCATACATATGTTCATAATATGTAACTTTTACTCAATCTTATACGACATTGTAGGTACATCATTCAGTAACCTTCTACCTTGAGTATTTCTTGGGCCTTGTTTAATCATCATCATGGTAGAATAAGGAGATGGAATATTAGTTCAAAAAATAAATATGTAAAACTTCTACACAGGAGGGAAAGTAATGGAGAATCATTTGCAAACGACACGGAACATAAAAGAAGGAAAAGTAAAATGCTTTACGTCATTAACCAAAAAGGATAAAACAAACATTAATCTTTAAGTATTTGATGCCATTTTATAAAAAAAAAAAACAACAGAAATCTTTGCTATCAAACGTTTCTTTGGTTTGGTTTGGTTTGGATTGTTTTGTTTTGTTTTACGGCATATCATCCTCAATGAGTTATTTAATGCCGACAAAATTTTCATTATTGGTAATATTTTTTTTTTCCCAAACTCTATTTCTGGTAATATTATTCCTTCAAAGATCTATTTCTAGTAAGATTTTTTTCTTCTATATTTTATTTTATTTATTTATTTTTTTTTTTTTTCAAAAATGTATTGCTGGTAATATTTGCTTTTCAAATATGTATTTCTTGTAATAATTTTTTCACAAAATATTTCTAGTATTAAAACCTATTTTTACACTTTCATATTGTTTTGACCCCAGTTTGGAGGTTATCTGTTTGTCCATAGCTAGGATCCCAACTGGTACTACTACCCGAGTCAGGGTGAACTTGGAAACATCAGCAATTAAGCGGTGGTTCCAGGCTACTCAAAACCTCTTCATTAAAGGCCTTGCTATTGGATGTAATTTATCGTCTTACCCAGAACGCGGATGCAGTTTGTCGTCATACCCAGGACGGTCTAGCAAAATTATCACTGATACTAGCAACTAATGATGTAATGGTTAGAAAACTTGTCTTGTTAGAACAATTACGACTGAGTAGCGAATTCGATTCTCACTGGACGCCCCATACTTTCGGTCTTGTACCACATCTAAGCTACGCTTAGAAAATCATTTCATACCTACCTGAAACAGGTGGTATCACGCCTATGACGAGCTCTGACCAGCTTGAAGAAGCTATGACCAACTAAGAAGAGCTTAGACCAGTGGCCCGAGGGATTCCACTGACTCAGTGCGGAGAGGGGACAAGTAATTATCTACTAACAACTAAATTACCTGGAAATCGAAAAAGAAGGCTGGATCAAAAACAGCCTTGAAGGTCTCAATATAAATAGCATTTAAAGATGATGCACAATGTTTGGAAGAAATCAAAATGAAGAGTTTCTTTTGAATTTATTAACTCTGAAGAAAAAAACTTTTTCCATTGAAGTTTTAGCTGATTAGAAGTCTTCTTTGAATGACGCACTTACAAATAATTTGACTGAAACATCAGAGATAACTGGATGATTTAATAATAATGCTTCGTTGTTACTACTTTTGTTCACGAAGGTATGCTTATGATGCATCAGCATTTTTTCTTTTCTTTTTTAAATTGCCATTTCTAACTTTAAATTTGATCTCTTGGCCTCAATCCATGACAGAATATTATTGAATCTGTTAATTTGAGAAAAAAAATTATAATACTTCATTTTATTTTTTTTTGTTTCATTTTTGTTTTGTTTTTTAAATTAAATTATATACCTTTACTTTCAGTCACATGTGTGAAAAAAAGTTTATCTTTCTCAGATAATAGGTACAAGCGAAAGGTCTAGTTTGGTTTGGTTTATTTTACAGCAATGGGTTATTTAATATCGACAAGATTTTTGTTGATGGTAATATTTATTTCAAAGATAATATTGAAATTATTACGGAGTCGCTAACTGTGTGCCCTGTGATTGGATGAAAAACAACCAATCACAGGCTACTTTTTTAGACTTTCACCAAATCCCCACGTGAGCGTTTTTTACAAACGCTCTTCCTCTTTTGCTCGTCGGGAACCTCAGAGACAACACGTTATCCATCTGCACTCCGTCATCTAAACATCAGGACACGTGTGAGGATCTCGACAGCAACTGAAGCACAGGAGTCAGGACTCTGTTTTCTTCAACCAAGCCAAACAGGAAAACTGTTATAAGGACGCATTTTGCAGATAAGTCCCGCAAACCGACTGTTTTCAATTAGAAACTTTACTTCTGTTTTCCTACAAATACATGTTTTTTCATACATTTTTCAACTGTTTTTGTGTTCCTTTCTTCTTGCCGGCGTCACAATATTTTTGTTACCAATATAATTGGGAAAATCCCAATAATGTATTGCTGGTAATATTTTTTTTTCTTCAAAAATGTATTGCTGGTAATATTTTCTTTTCTTCAAAAATGTATTGCTGTTAGTAAAACCTACTTTTACACTTTCACAGTGTTTTGAACTTAGTTTGGTGGGGTTAACTATTAGCCCATAGCCGGAATCCTAACAAGAGATACCACCCCGGGTCAGAGTGGACCCGGGAACAGCAGAAAACCAGAGGTGGTTCCACGCTCCTCAAAACCTCCTGATCAGAGATCTTGCTGTCGGACGTCGTTTATCGTCATACCCAGGACGGACAAGCGAAAGGCAACAACAGATGTTTATCGAAAATAAAAACAAAGACGGTTTAGTGTAGGTTCATAGAGAAAGAAAATATTAATTTTATGAGTTGAGCAGATGTAAAAATTATAGATTTTTTATTTGTTTTTGACAGTTTATCAACACCTTTTGAAGGCAGAATATATTTTCAGATTGTAAGATTTTTTCTTTCTTTTAGGTATAATGGGTATAATGATTTACCGATACAAGTACTATTAAGTAACCGATTCTTGGAGGGAGAAAAGATGGAATCATAACTTTAGAAATGGTATTTGCATACAAGAGAATATAACAAAACTAACTGAAATTTTCCGATCTCAAATTCCAAGCTGTTATCCATTGCACTTACCCACACTTTGAAGCTTACAGCAACTTATATTTCCAAGCCGTCACCTATCGAAGTACTGACCAGGCTTGACGTTGCTTAACTTCGGTGATCGTATGAGAACCGGTGTAAACCGAAAAAATATAGAAGCAGTAATCTTTTAAACTTGATTCTGCCAACACATTTAAAATCTTATTTCGCCTGCCCACATAATATTTTGTGCCGTTCTGATTGACAGTGACCGGTTTTTTTTACCTGTGTCTTCTAGTTTTCCACTATTTTCGAGGCTGCATGTCATGCTCCTTGACAGCCGTGTCAGGGGGATGGATTTGCGGCCCCACCGACAGGTCAAATGCATGCATGTGATTGCGTGCTTGTGTAGGTGTCTAGCTTAATAGTCCGTCACCTAGCGTTCGTATATTAATAAACAAATGCAAAAAGAAAATGTAACTTATCTTGTTTTATTTGACTTTATTTTCCTTACAGATGATATGAATTTTTTGTTTTTTTTATAAAAAAAATAAACCACCATTTTGTCGGCTTCTGTCATTGAGTTTTTTTGGGGTTTTTTTAAACGGTTTAAATAAAAGTTTAGGCGAAATAAGTTCTTGGTTTAATTTAATGAATATATTGATACATCATTTATTTTCTATGTTATGAAAGTGAGGGGAAATATGTCAGAATTCATACACAGAAAATGAAAGGAAATATGTTAAATGTCGGAAAAGACAGAAGGAATGAGAAGGACAGATGTCGAGCTAAAAGTAGCGTAATGATTAATCTTCTCAGTAAATCGTGTAAAGAAAGACAGAAAGTGAAGAAGAGAGGTTACTAGGTATAAAAGTGATGTAACACGAGTCGTGGAAAATGTGCAGTTATATTTTTGAAGTCGTGATTAAGCATGCGTTTCCATTGGTGACGAAATCATGGAAAATTGCACAACGTTGTTGTCATCGTCTTTTCTTTCATCTACCTCTTAAGTACAAACGAGACAAGACAGTGGTCAATATATTAAACGACAAGGCAGGTAGAGTATTAGATTGATAAATATATATTAATTGGTTTATATTTTAAATGTGGAAAGTCTTTCAAAACAAAGGCCTACCCCAATTTTGTATTTGTATCCATTGTTTTATTTCACTTGGAGTAGTTGCATAGTTTTACTTGCTATGGTGTTTTTTGTTTTTGTTTTTTTTTAAGCGTAGCTTCCATGTGGCACAAGGCCCCACGTATGGATGGAACACACTACTCAGTCGCAATTGATCTAGCGAGACAAGCTTTCTAAATATTACACTCTCCCAAAAATTATTTGCGTTATACTCTTCGGCCTTCACCAAGTGTATTTTGATCCGGATAAACTACAGGAAACTGAGCTCTTTATTTTTTTTTGTTTAGTTTATTTTGTATTGCTCAATTATTACCCACCCAATTTTCTCTGCCCAGCCCAGCGATTGAACTCACAATTTTCTATGTCTGCAAAGAACTAGACGAGATATCCATAGACACGGGCAATGGAATGAGAACAATCTTCAGGGGTAGATTAAATAAAGGATTCAATTTGAAATTGCTTGTAGGTTACCCGGACCGAAATAGTCCTGATGAAGGCCGAAGGACACAAGGCCGAAACTTTGTGTTAAGAACAACTAAGATGAGGATAATACTCCGCATATAAATAACGTAAATAAGTTAAAAGAAATCCTTTAAATACCGGCTGAGGGAAATAGTGTTCATTTGTTACTAATACCCTCGCAAATGACATAAAAGTAACACATGTTTCTCCAGATATAGTTAAAATATAGGAACAGACGGATATGTCTAGCCGTATTTGGCAACCATCTTTGTTAGAAGAACATGATTTAATTTAAAACCGTTTGATCGTTCGCCTAACAACTGCACTCCTTAAAAACTACTTGATACTGAAACAGCAACAGCAACACATAGTAAGCATAAGCTCGACACTTCGACGTACGGTAATGTTAAGAAAGCTTGTCTCGATAGATAAATTACAACTGACTAACGACTTCGATGCTCATTGGTTGTTCCATATTTGTGTCCTTATGCCACATCTACGCTACGCTTAGGAAATAATTTCTCCATGCTACGCTTAGTAAATATTTCCTCCATGCTACGCTTGGAAAATAATTTAGGCCTCGTCACCGTGTTTAATATTTACCAAGCTTGTCTCGATAGATCAATTACTATTGAGAGGAGAGTTCGATCTTTACTAGATGTTTCATATTTTTGACCTTGTGCCACATCAAAGCTACGATTAGTAAATTATTTCTTGGCACGTCGACGCTGTGTAATGGTTACCAAGCTTTTCTCGCTAAATCAATTACAACTGTGTAGTGAATTCAATCCTCACAAGTTGCTCTGTATATTCGGCCTTGTGCTACTCTTAGAAAATCATTTTGGGCACGTTGACGCTATATAATATTTAGTGAGTCTGTCTCGCTAGATTAATTACAAATACAGTAAAAATAGTTAAATGTCACACACGATGCAGTGCTTTGTCCCCGTCTAATTAACAAACACAATTATACTTTAAGAAACCAATTGTGTTATATATTAAGGCATATATTGCTGAAAAGGTTATTTATCAGCAGATATGACAATGTACGATATTATTGAATGCACTCATTTCCCGCAGTTAGATATAAATACTACAAGGAAACCAACACGAGACAACTATTTGAAAATACTGAGACCGTTAAAGAAATAGGTTTATGCCAAATCATATAACACCAACAATAGATTATATATATATATATATATATATATATATATATATATATATATATATATATATATATATGTATAAAGGTAGGATGTGTGTGTGTGTGTGTGATGAATGCACGGCCGCAATTTTCGACGGATTTGCACCAGAATTTACATGCACATGCTCCAAGTTAGAAGGAAGGCCAAGACCGACTTTGCATTTCCCAACTCCCATCGATACTGGAAATAATCTATATTTTCATGCTTCTACGGCAGTTTTCATGTAGTTTGGGCCATTTTCTACTGTCCAGAGTGAGAGCCTATAGCTGGCTGCCACGAATAGTCAGGAAGATTCTATTGGCGAGCGTGAGAGCCAACAGCTGACTGACACGAATGTTAACTAGCATGCTAGCATGTAAAAAAAAATGATAGCTGCATTCGTCACAAGTGGGAAAAATTTAAATCTGCATTGCACTTTACTCCAATTAGCTCATTCACTTGCATAAACTAAACGTTGATTCTGATTCCGCAGAACTGAGTAGGGTGTGAAAAAGTATTTGTTGTTAACATTCTTTTTTCATTCGGTTTTTTTCCAGTTACGTGTCCTTTTTTAAAGCTGATCGTTTTGTGTTCATTTTGTTTAGTTCTTTTTTCGTAACAAATTTAATGTTTAGTATAGAGCTTAAAAAAATTTCGCTGTGTGAGATAGGCAAGAAGTAAGGCATGTAGCAACATCAGCACGGCAAAGGGAACTCCTTTAAAGGCAAGGAAGGGCAAAAATATTTTAAGTCAAGTGATAGCGATTGCTGTATGAGTCATACGATTTTTGAATCAAGCACGGTCAACGCTGCTAGTATATATATATATATATATATATATATATATATATATATATATATATATATATATAAAGCGTTTACCCAGAAAGTATTAAATTATGTACAAATTATCTGTAGTTGAAGGAATAAAATTGCGTTCAAAATATATACAGTTGAAGCCATGAATTTGGTTACAAAATATTTCGATTTCGACATTAAATAACTCAGAGAGATCGGTATACCGCTAAAGAAAATCAACTAAACCAAACATTTGTCTACTGTAATTATATGACCATAAATCAACGGCATAAAAAAACATTTTTTTTAAAATTTAGAACTAAAAAATTCAAATCGAATTCTATTCTTACTCTTATTCGAAGAATCCACTACAAATACTAATGGTGAGATTAACTGTTTCCACGCTGGGAACTTTCGACATTCATTGACTGAACTGATATAGTAATAGTCAGTTGAAATTCTTCTATTAAATACACTTCTCAAGTAAAATAAATGCTATCTCTCATTGCACTATTGCTGGGAGTTTCCTTGCTTACCTTTTGTGTAAGATAGTGTGAAAATTCAATCTTTTTTTTTCTCCTTATCGTCTCTTGTTAATATATCCTATCCAATTTTAACTGTTGTTAGGTTTTCTCGTATGGTAAAGAAATGAAGGATATATTGATTGATTGAATTTAATATGATATATAAATATATTTCTGCTTCACACAAAGAAATTCACTACCGAGATATGAGAAAATTCGACAAACTCTTTACAGTAGACTCTTCTGAGAACATCAAAAGCGTAACATGAAAAATATATGAATATATACACACTCATTCACAGACAGACTGTTTCACTGTATCACAGCACATTAGTGTGGATAGACATCAGATTGCGTTCGGTTAGCAAGGTCGAAGATTGACTTTCAAATACAGTAAATTCGACCTTGCTATCCGACCGCTCCTTCGTGGCCAAATCGGTTAAAGGCACGTCAAGCTAAATTACGGTTCCGTATAGGATACAGGTTCGAACCCTGTCGGAGGACGAATATTTTCTGTGAAAATTTCTCGGACGTTCAGGACGGTAAATGTTGTTTATTATAAACAGAGCATTTACTTAAATATTTTTATCTATAAAAAAATGTCTAAACATAAAAATGTCTTAAAATTATAGTAATGTTTATTTTCAGTCTAATATATCCAATTGCCTAGTTGCTGCATTCCGTCGAGTATTCATTCTGAGATTGCTCCCCCTTAATTTTGAACTTTCTGATTGTCTGGAAGCTGCAGCTGTGTATTCATGATACGCCTCATTTCAATTTCATCTTGAGTTTCAGCTTCTCTTGCTGATGCAGCCCGTTAAGCATCTAATGTACGTTTTCTGTCAGCTTCTTCTTGATTTTCAGACTGATTTGCTGCTGCAGTCCGATGAGCATCTAATCTAAGATAATATGGTTTAAATTTCATTTAAATTCATGGAAACAATTTTTGTGGCGGGGATTTGTGCACTCCTGGAACTTCACTTTTTAAAAATAAGTTAGATATATATAGTCTGTCATTAGGTGTCATACAGAGAATCTCTTTCAAATTTCATCA